AGACACTCATGCGGGTGAAATCCCGCTCATACTCCTCGACTGTCCGGGTCCCTTGGAGGAGATACCAGAATTCACGCTCTATCTGCTTTTGGTAACTTCGGGGGTAGTACTTCTCGAGCACCACCTCCTTCATTCTGTCCCAGGTAAGATTAGCCAACTCACCCGGCCTAAGTCTCCAGTGGTCGGACCACCAGATAGCAGCATCCTCGTCTAACTGATATTGGCCACAGACAACTTTCTGCGTATCGGTGTAGAGCAGGAGATTAAAGATTCGCTATAGATTGCGAATCCATTCAGACACAGCCGTGGGCCCTTCGACTCTCGTGAAAGCCGGTGGGGTCAGTCGCCGGAATTTGATAATGGTGTCACGGTGATCGTCAGCCGGGGGCTGCTGAGGGGGAACTTGCTGGTTGCGAGTTTGACGTGCCATAATTCTACATTGAATAGGCCGAAAAAGTTTAGCACAAGACATAATACTAAAGTTCGTCATTGGTGGATAAACGTTTTCCTAAGCCCCAATTAACAACATGATACAGCAAATCACATCATAAGTAATTTCATTACTATTTATGTAAAACATACCTTTAGCAATGCAGCATGACGAAGACGAGTGGTCGAACATATGCTTACAAAATCACATAAGTCACATAAATCACATAAAGCAGTCTACAGAAACGTAAACTTGCTCTGATACCACACTATAACGCCCCACTTTTGATTTTAAAGAAATTCCAGACTTTCAGAAAAATCAAGATAACATTTTAGAAATTCATTTTTTTCGAAATCGACTTTAACATGGGCATTATCGTGTTTCAAGTCATATTTGAAACCTCATGGGGATTCATTACTCGATTTTCTCATGGACTTCATTGTCCCAAAACATAAAACTTCACATGATATTCAAATAACACATCCATCATGAATATCCAAACATAGTTCAATAATACGAACCAAATCGCAAATCCAAAAATCCAACATTTTCAAACGACATAGTTTGAAAGCAATCAACATGTTCAAAAGACCAAAACATCAGGTTCACATGACCCAAGTAACATGTTCATAGAACTGAAAGCGGAAGCAAAATAAACGTTAAACATGAGACTAGCCACTCGTCTTTTCACTGTCATGCATGCCCCTGCTCAACCTGTGAAATAAAAGTGGGGATGAGCACAAATGGAATCCGTGGTGCTCACCACTATGCAATAAATCATATATAAAGACAGATAGGCATGGTCGCAGCATGAACACGAATCATTCAAATATCACATCTCCTAATCATATACTTTTACTCATGTGCACATCTATAAAAGTCACTGAAGGTCGAAACCGCACACAACAATGGGAGTAAATACCGAAGGACATACAACTCACATCGGCCTTGCATATCATTAGACTAAGGGAGACTGCCTATCATTAGGCACCGTCGAAGGTCGAAACCGCACACGACGACGGGAATAACCGTTTCGAAGGTCGATACCGCACACATCGAAGGTTACATGGTTCACATGCATACAGTGATCAAACCATCCAACATTTATACAGAATTTAAGTCATAGCAATTTTAAATAACCCACCTGAAAATCGGGGTAGAAAAGCACACAAATAGATCGGTAGGTCGGTGAGGCTCAACTCCTCAACACCTACATTTAAGCAAGATAATAATCTATAATTTATCTCCCTACTCGGAATTAACATAAAAATCACACTTAATAAAAAATCGATGATTAAAGAATTTTATCGGGTTATCATGGACTTGGAACTCTCAAATTTTAAACGAAAAGACTCGGGGAACAAAAATGGAGTCTCGGGACTTCAAATAATTTTTCTCAAATTTTTCTCATTATTGAAAATATTTTTAAAATTGAAATCGGTATTAAAAACAGGCTTCCGGAACACAAAAAGGTAAAAAAGAATCAAATTGGGCCGCTTGATGGCCGAAGCTGCCACAGATTTGGGCCTCACACATGCAAACTGGGCCGAAATTTGAAGAAGGATTGTGCCGCAAGGGCCTGCTATGCGGCTAGACAGCGCGGGCTGGGAGCGGGCACGCGGGCTGGGAATTGCTGTCAGGAACGGGCCGCGTGTGGGATAAATGTGGGCTGGAAAGCCCGCGTGCCCTCCTGCTGGGTGAAAATAAATAAAATGGCTATTGGGGGTGGGTTTCGAACACAGGACCTCGCGCACGAAAGTGAACATAGAACATCACTGCACCATCTGTCCGGTTGCAAATTTAAAACAAATCATGGCTACTAAAATTAAACAAAAGGCCTGCGACTTAACCAATAAAGTCTGAATAAAAATTGGAACAGAGGATGGGAATAAGCAACCAGGGCCGGGAACTTTTACCGAGCTGTGACAAAATTCGACCGAACTCGAAGACGATATATCTAACGGCAACCGGGTTTCGAGAAGTAAATAAGTATACAAAAATTAACACGTTTTCGGAGATCGAACATAAATAAAAATCGGGTTTCGGGTTTTGAAAAACAACTCGACAACACACAGTTTTCGAAAATAAACGACTGTCAACATGACGACGGCAAGGCTCGAAACATTTAAACGAGACTCCGAATCTTATACAAAAATACACATTAATTAAAAGGATTCGATTTATACGAATGAGAGTTCAATAATTCCACGATGTATCACCAATCATAATCCGAAGAATAAAACGACAATACGAGCCGATTAATGAACCGAACAATCAACAAGAAATCGATTCAAATAGTACGGATATAATCAAACGAGTAAACACAAGCACGATTATATCGAGAAGGTTCGTCGAATACCTTTCTTTGGGAAGTTCGGTTGAGAACGAAGGGACGACGGGAATGAACAGAAGGACGGACCAACACCTCGAAAGCTCGACGAACGGCTCGACGGTGGCTGCTCGCGAACGGAAAGCAACGTTGACCTCGACGAAGGACGACTGCCGTTGAGGAGGACGATCGCCGGAATCAATGGTGGAACTGAGCTTCTGAGACGGGCTCGTCAGCGAAGGGTCCCGACTTCTGGTAAACCGTCGACGGTGGACGACTGCTCGGAACAAGGAACGCCGGCGAACAGGGTCGATGAACTCGCCGGAAAACGGCGACAGGAATTTCACGAGAAGATATTTTTTTCTCTTTTCTTTCTTTATTTTTTTTTTTCCAGAGCGAGAGAGATTAGAGAACAACTTGGGTATGAATGATAAGAACTGACCTTCTCTAGCCGAGATATAAGTGACAAGTGAAAGGAGTAAGCGAACGTGCGGAGAAAAATCTCATACAAATCGCAACAGATTTTATTCAAACTGCTGGAGAAAACTTGGTCGCGCGTGAAGAAGAAAAGGGCCGCTCTTAAAATTCTTCTTGGGCCAAGATTAAAGAAAATGGTCCAAGAATGAAAGGAAATTACATAAATATTTGGGCCAAGACTAAATAAAACAATTGGGCCATAATTAATAATTGAAGAGCTGAAAAAAAAAATAAATCTATTTGGGCCGAACAATAATTAATAGCGCAATTCCAAGAATTTCCGATCGATTCGATTGACAATGAATAAAAAAGATTATACGAGTTATAATATTAATTAGACAACGATATCTAATTAAATAACAATAAGTCTAAACGAAAAAGATGTCGAGCAATAATATAATATAGACAATTAATTCAAATAATAATAATAATGCCAATAAATAATATTCAAAAAATCCAATATTCAAACAGGACATTACATGTGTACTCATTTTTTAAACATAAACACCACCAGTGAGATTACAAGTAATAGTACTAAAATGTTATTCTTCTTTTTGAGTTGGACATTGTCTTTCTTAGTTTTTTCATCTTCTTCCTTTTTTTCTCACTTTGAAGAGTAGTAAGTAGTTGCACTTTCAATATGTAACCATTGGTTTCATCTTCTAGACAATTTATTTTACACAACAAACCATGTATTATTTTCTTTGATCTTGCACACATTGGAGGGTCAAGTCACTTCTAAAAACTGCAAGCAAGCACTGCAAGTACCTCCTTCCAGGATTGGCTGACATGCATGAAGTTTTCTTCGAGCAACGAAAAAACAAAATACCCTGACTTCTCCACGAACTTGAAGAACTCATTTTTTTTTTTTTTTTCGAAATATTAATGCTGATACGAAATATGTGTGGCCATTGTTTGATATTTATAACGCAATAGTTGTGTTTGCAATTTTCCCTCCATTTTGGAGAAGGAACCTAATTTTCCCCCCATTTCTAGCTGCGGTCATTGACTAACGACCAACTAACGGTTGAGAATCCATTTCTTCAATGAAAGAATAAGGACCAAAACAACTTTTGGGACCAAATTTGCAACGGTCCCAATCGTATGGGACCATTTTGCAATTTCCTCCTTTGTTTAATATATTGTGGAAAATCTCTATTGAACATTATATTTCCAAAACTTATTATGCCCATAGGTCATCTCAACAACCAACCACACCATAAGTCCGTAACGAACTAATAGTTGAAAATTCTTGAGCACCTCAAGTCCAAAACCTACAATCTCATTTCAACAGAACTCATTGACCATAAGTAATTTATTGAAACAGCGGTGATGCATAAAGCCACTAAATGCAACAAAACATTTCTCTTGAGAATCCTACAAAATCAACATTGTAAAATGATAGTGTAGGTGTGTAATGGCCAGATTCCAGCATTTGCTCCACAAGACATCTCAATATCGAGCAAAATATCTCTACAAACAACAAAATCACTCGATGATAACAAACTACATTTTCCCCTTCTAAAACAATGCACAAATTACCTGCCTGGGGTCCAATCACCATTTGGAACAAGTTCTTCTGGCATCAGCTCCCAATCGACTTTATCAAATGCTTCTAAAGTTCCAAGTAGCTAACCCAGTTGTATACAAAGGTAGTGGTGGATTTGCACTAGATTAAAAGTCCCCTCGATGCTAAATTTTGTAGAAACCAACCCAAAAAACATATGTAACTGAAGCAGGCCTAGGCTTAAAACTTGCGGAAANATTTCATTTTGCTAAGATCTTTTTAACCTTAGCAACAAAACTTTTGGTAGAAATGCAAGTTATGATTGAATATCATCAATTTCAAATATGTGAAGCAATATGTTTGTTGAAATAGAAAACTTTTTAACTTAGTATATTGCAACTGAGATGCAGTTTTTGGATTGATGGATAACAAACATTTAAAGCAAAGAAGTGGCAGCGACTCTGATGTGTTAAGAGCTATCGTGCACTATGCGTTCCTGCAAAGAGCTGGTACAACATCAAACTATGACGTAAGTTAGTCAACAATCAACTGAGAAATCTTATCTGCCCAGCCCAATTCAACACACTTGGGGCAAAAGGAAAAAAAAAAGAAAGAAAATAAAGAAAAATGTAAGGCTTCAAAGTTCAACCCCTAGAATAAGTTGCATACATATAAGGGGTTATTCAAACGATGGATTATTCAAATCACTATAACATGAGTATAACATTAAGTTAAAGGCTACATTTTAATATAAGCAAAGAGATGAAAAACATCAATTCAATACTTAGAAAAGTTGCACAAAAGAAAGATAATTGGCATTGTTTCACATCCTTAAGAAAGACAAGAAGTAGCATGAACCAAGAATCAACCCCTCAAAAAGTTGTTACTGGCCCAAAATACGACATCATTTTGGAAATTGTTCAACAGGAAATTAAATAGAAAAGTCATACATTTTTTCATAAATTCTAGTCTTTATGGAAATCATAAGTTTGCTACATGGGAACACAGACTTCATTTGCAAGTTTGCCCGACTTCAGAAGAATCAGCAGAGTCCAATCTAAAAGTTTTGAAGCATTTTTGAAGAATCTGCACAATGGATACATAAATCATAAAAGACGAATAATTTGAAAAGCAAAAATAGTTCTTACTCCTTGATACAGAACAAACAAATACACTGTAACAAAAAATCATTAATTAATTTAAACAGAAAAATAGCAATGATCCGTTTACAAAAGCTAAGAACTTCAACTATATCAAAGAAACACGGGTAATTCGTGAGAGGAAAAATATAATAGCATAAACATGAAATATGGGAAACTGATGGGCCATAAGAAGCATAACTATTAATTTGAGATAAGAGATGAAACCACTTAGAAAAAATTTAAAAAGTAATTGCAAAAATCTGGGTTGGTTAGCATAATCCCTTCAATTCCCTTTCTCCATACAACTAATCTGCAGCTGTCCTCCATCTTCAACTATTGTTTGTCTGACTGATAGAGAGCAACCAAATCGTCATTCCACTTCTTCTCAGTAGCATCTCACCAGAACAAAATAAAAATAATAATAGATAAAAAAAACCCAATAGTGCAAGAGTATATTTAGGTTTTCCTCCTTGATGAAGAAGTTCTGAAGCAAAAGCAATCACCCTAAACATATATTGAACCACAGCAGCAACCAAAGGAATATAAGTTTAAACAGTTATCTTCCACTTGCTCAGGCATTACTTTGGAGTTGTCACTTTAAACTGTCAAGTAACATCAGGAGGGTGAATTACCAGGGTTATATTAGAAACTAGCCATTTAACACATCCAACTATATACTTCTTTACAACAAAATTGGCTCATGTATGAGGTCCAACAATGTGATTGCCGAGACAAGAATCATAGAATACTAATGAAAGCAGAATATCAAATCTCCACAACATAATAGAAGTGATATCCAAGAAAAACTATTCCTTTCACAGTTTACAAACAACGACCCACATTTTTAAATACTTATTTATGACAAAATGCCTTCATGTAAACATGCATTCCAAAAAAAGGATACCAGCAAAATGTGAATGTTAGGCATCCAACTATTATACTTTGCACGGGTAATTAAAATTTATCTTAGGACTTAAATCTACCAGCTCACACAACAGTCACACACAATTTTAACTGCTTTAAACTCAGTAACAACAACTCCAAAACAAGCAATGGGCCAGGGTTACTTGAACTGCAATCAACATTAACAACAAGAACTGAAATTTAGTAAGAACATTCACATACCTCAGCCTGCCTAGTGACCGTGGCCCATGTAGGGTGCTCCACCCTGATGTGGCCTATAACCACCTTGACCCATCTGCTGCTGGCCACCATAACCTCCCTGAATACCAGGCTGACCTCCATAGCCACCAGCACTAGCCTGACCTCCGTAACCCACATTGTTCATCATAGGTGGTGGGGCCCCCTGTGGATTGACCCCAGCTCCAATCCCTCCAAGCAAGTTTCCAATACCTAAGCCTGCTCCCTGAGTGGCCAACAAAGCTGCTACAGCCTGTCCAATAGCCTCAGGGGCAACCACTTGATTAAAGCCAGCGGCTGGAACACCAGGTCCTCCACTGGGCGCCATCAAGTGTCCCCCCGTATGGCTCATACCACTGCCCCCACCATATTTCCCCTTCTTCGCCTGATGACCATAATACCCCTGATGGTGGCCTTGGTGATGTTGCTGCTGCTTATAAGGCTGACCAAACTGCTGGTTGACGTTACCCTTACTGTGCTTGGGGCCATCCACCGCTCTCTGGCAGTGAAGAGTCTGCCCCTCAAAAGTCTTGTGTGGCTCCTCCAGAGCCTTTCGTGCGCTCTCCAGGTTCTTATACACAAAAAGGCAGAAACCTCTGGGTTTCCCTGTGTGTTTATCCAAACCCAGAGGCCCTTCTTCAATCTCCCCAAATTTGGAGAAGAATTCCAGAAGCTTATTGGGATCAAGCTCGGCTGACACGTTACTCACGTAGATCTTCCGCTGAGTGTACTCAGAGGCAGGCGGACCCGAGGCAGCAGCCACAGCAGCTGGACCAGGAACGGCCCCAGCTGACGCCAGCTGGCATGAAGTCAGCCGACCATCAATCACCTTCTGAGGCTGCTTCAGGGCGCGGCGGGCCCCATGACGGTGCTTGAACAGGATGAAGCCATAGCCCTTTGATTTCCCGGAGATTTTGTCCTTGACCACCTTACAGTCCTCGATCTCGCCATACTGGGCAAAGGCAGAGGTGATGGTCTCAGCACTGGCCTCCCAGCCGAGCCCGTGAACAAATATCTTGCAGTGGGAGGGGTCTGCGTCGGCCAATCTGTTCACGCTCTCAATTACATCCGGGTGTTTGGCCACCGCCTCTTTGATCAGAAGAGTCAGTTGGTCCTTTGAGAAAGGTTCGAGAAGCTTCTCGAGCGGCTCTTCCTCCAATTCATCCTCCTCCTCCTTCTCTTCTTCCTTCTGTCCCTGGCCATTCTCCGAGACATCAGAAGGCTTCTCAGTAATTTCAGTCGCTTGCTCATCACTCGCCTGGTCGGCGATGGCTTCGTTTTCATTCTTCTGGATGTTGTCCGGCTGTTCCTCTTTGCCGTCTCTCTCTTCTTCCGGCTCTTCTTCTTCTGCTTCTTCCGGCTCTTCTTCTGCTTCTTCCTCCTCCTTCACGGCTTCGTCTCCCGCTCCCTGGTCTTCGACTTCCATGGTTTCGTCTGCTTGGCGCTGTTCGGGCTCAGGCTCGGTTTGCGGCACGACTTCGGGCTCCTCGAGAGCTTCGGTGGCGCGGGTTTTTCGTTTCCTGGGCATGGTAATTGAGCGAGGAAGAGGTTTTGCTTCGTTGAGGGTGGGAACTAGGGTTTGAGGAGATCAACAAAGTGAAGATATTTTTTGGGAGGATTGGGAAAGAGGGTGACGGAGACAGAAAAGTACTGTGCATGTGTGGGCTATGAAAGCACGAGACTGCTTTTCATTTCGATCCAATTATAATTGGCTAACGTAGTTGAGTATATACCCATTCTTCTATCCATATTCTCTTTCTAGTAAAAATGGGCCGACACAGTCGAGTTTCCAGCCCATTGAGTCATTTCCTCCATTTTTCATTTTGTAGGTTCCGCAAGACAGTTGCTCTCTCAATTTGCTCTCTTATTCTACCAACAACATTTCCCAAACGATAGTATCTCAAAATAACTTAGGGTGTGCTTGCATATAAACTTAACTAAAAACTTAATCAAAACTCAAACTTAACTCAATCTTAATCCAACTTTATTATTTTTAATATTACAATATAATTAAATAATATTAACTAATTATTCTTACACATTACATCAACTTTAATTCACTATTCACCACTCACATAGTTTTAACTAACCATCACTTTCAATCATTTTTCTCCTACGTTTACACCATATCAACTTTAGCTATTTTATTTTATATATTATTTCAATTTAAACTTAAATTCTCACTAATTGACTATACCACATTTTTTAAAATTAATTATAGTTAACAAAAAAATCAATAAAAAACTAATCAAATCCATATCCAATCACACCCTTACAAACTAATGTCTAATTTATTTATCTTTTAAGAAAAAGTAATTTTGTACCTTCTTAAGGTTCCATTTTTTGGAAGTGGACGACTTATAAAATTTCCAAAACCATTTTAAAGTGAATGAGAAATTAATTCTAAGTTGTATATTTTGGAAAATGTAACATTTTTTTTTCCCGAAACGATAGAGGAACTATTATAAATCAAAACGCACAAAGTGCGAATAAAAGTACAAAGCTCCCAATAGGAGAATAAAAATGGGAGGACAAGTCTGACGACCGCCTAGAAACCCGAAACTAGCAACGCTAGAAACCGAAAGACAAGACGCACAACACAAAACGACAAACACTAAGAAAAACTACAAGGCTCTCAACAGGAGAATAGAGACGGAAGCAGATCCCAACAGGATAATAAGTTTGCTCCCGCTCAGATACAGAGGCCAACTGCCCAGACCAAAAACACAAACACAACGATCACAAAGCCTAAAAAACTAACTAAACCACTAAACGACAAAACAAAACAATTAACGAAACTAAACGAGCCCTTCCAAAGTGTCGACACCTAACCGAACCAGCGAAAACAAGGCGACTGTGAATCCCGCAGCCAGACGTATCGACCTCGAAACTGCCCAAACCACTCGGTTGCCTAACGGTGTCGAAACCCTAGCCCCGGAACAACACAAGCCACCCCGCAACACGGCCCAAACACCAGATCGTCCCGAACAGACAAGCGAGTGCCCCGGCCCCATCCCCAACCCCATCACGCCTGGAAGCTGCCCGAAGCCACCGCACCGCCGCCTCGCCCCTCCTACCATCACCACTAGCAGAAGAAGAAGAAGAAACAGACGCAGGCTTCAAACAGCGGCAACTCCCCAATCGCCCAAACAACATGGTCGTCGAGCAATTGGGTCGCGTCCCACCCCCAGAACGGCACCACGGCTCCACCACACCGCTCAGCAGAGAAGCCGCCACCCGAAAGTCACGAATCGGAGTCGGAAAGACGACTACTTTCCGCAACAGACGAGCCCATCACCATGGAAGACGAATAGCGGAGCAGAGAAAAAAAAAGGCAGGATCCAGGCAGCCAAGGGCCGGCGACCGCCGGCGAAGCTCGACGGACACTTGGGAAGGCCGACGGCTGAGAATCAGAGGGAACTCGACGGGCACTTGGTGGAAGGGTTTTCTTCAGAGACGGATTTGGGGGAATTTTTAAAAAATATGACTTTACTCTCTAAAAAATACTGGAAAATGTAACATTGAAATCTTTGAATTTAAGTAACTCAAATATTATTGGATTCGCAAATCGTTTGAATTTTGATGAATGTCTGGACAACTCAAAAGAGCCATAATCATTCAATATGCATCTAGAACCCTAGAAGAGTTCGTTGGGGATGAGTATGAAAAAAGAAACTTGATTATGAGTTTGAATGAGCTCGTACGAGCCTCGGGCGCACGTGCGCGCAGCTGGCCGTGGCCAACGGAGGGTCGCGACCCCTGGTGACCATAAGGTGTCTTTTGCCTTTCAAATGCGACAGTTCTTGTTTGGGCACGTCCTAAAAGGTGTTTGTTGATACTTAAACCTCTTGAAGGTGTTTTTCTACATCTTTAAGTACCTACAAACATGAAATCATACATAACTTGAAAATTAAGAGCTCTTCCATTATATTTTCAAAGTTCATAAAGCAAACTGTGTTCTTTGATTTTTTTATTTGATTTTTTTTCGTTGTGTCTTGAGAGTTCGAAACAATAGTATTGCTCGCAGAAGACTTGTATATTTGAAATACCACTATATACAAGTTGTTGTGCATAAATTATTACACATCCCCTGGGCCGGCCCATTAATCAAAGAGTTACACCACTCTCGAAGAAAATTGGACCTGCATCAACTTTGGTCCAAATTTTGGAAGGAAAAGCCCAAAGACCTGCACAACCCATCTTGCGCCGATCTCGCATCAAGTTTATACGTTGATCCATCAAATAACACATTCCAAAAGCTTTTGTTGATAGCTCTGTAGTATGACAAGAAACCAATAAAGTAAACTAGTACATCGATCGCCTAGCCTGTCCCATCATCAAAAGTCACAATTTTGCATTGGGACACCTCACCCTAAAAGGATGTGTTGATGTTCATGGTGATTAAAAGCAGAAGAAAAGAAAAGCTTGAAAGAGAACACAATAAATGCTATATCAATGGTGATACAATTTCTTCATACTCGGTTTAGGGCCTCTATGTCTCCATATATAGGCTATCACAAGATTAATCTTAACCATCTATTCTAGGTCTAAAGCTAGATGAATGACACCTAGCAAATGTAGGACACAAGCCATCTAGTACACAGTACAATTATCAAAATTGATTTTGTCTTTTGCATGATCCTGCATGGCACTGCTCACGTGTTCTTCCTTGAGCTGATGTGGAGATGGTGATGAATTCGTGTTGACTGTGTTGACCTTTCTTCCAATACCCCCTCTCAGATCAAGCAAGGGTCTAGGTAACACAGAAAGCTTATTTCTGAACCTTGTGAAGAGCTGCCCAGTTAATGGTTTTGTAAACAAATCTGCTATTTGGTCCAGTGTTGGTATGTGTCTCACTGACATGATCTTCTTTGCAACCTTTTCTCTTATGAAATGAAGGTCTATTTCAAAATGATTGGTCCTTGAATGATAAACTGGATTCCCAGCTAAACTCACTGCACCTTGATTGTCCATCCATATTGTTGCTGGTTGGGATGTATTGATTTTAAGTTCTGAAAGCAATGACTGCAGCCAAACCACATCACAAGTAGCATGAGGCAATGATCTATACTCTGCCTCTGTACTTGATCTTGACACTATATGCTGTTTTTTAGAACTCCAAGAGATTAAATTTGGGCCCAAAAAAGTACAAAATCCACTTGTTGACCTTCTGTCATCTATATCTGATCCCCAGTCTGCATCTGCATATCCAGTTATTTGCATCTCCTTTGGTGTATAAAAGTGCATCCCATAGTCAAGAGTTCCAGCTAGGTATCTCGGGATTCTTTTAACAGCTCTCCAATGAGTGTTCAAGGGAGTTTGCATATATTGAGAAACCTTGTTTACACTGTAGGAGAGTTCTGGCCTTGTTATGGTTGCATACTGAAGTCCACCAACCACTAATCTGAAGAGTTTTGGATCTTCCATAGGTTGTCCATTGAATTTGGAGAGCAAAGGTGATCCAACCATGGGAGTTGCCAATCCTTTTGATTTCATCATTCCTGTTCTTGCAAGTAAATCCATGATATATTTTCTTTGGTTGAGAAAAAGTCCTGATTCTGTTTTGACAATTTCAATCCCTAGAAAATAATTTAGGCCCCCCAAATCCTTCAATGAGAACTCTTTACCAGGTTGACCAATCAGTTAGCAATTTCAGAAGTGCTACTCCCAATTATGATCATATCATCAACATAAACTAATATGAGAGGGCAATGCCCATTTGAATGTCTGTAGTATAGAGAATTATCAGCTTGACTGGTTTGGAAGCCCAATGAATGAAGACTAGAACCTAGCTTATCAAACCAAACCCTTGATGCTTGCTTTAATCCATAAATGGATTTATGCAACTCACAAACCAGATGTTCTTTTCCAGGCACAATAAAACCAGTTGGTTGCTCCATGTAAAGGTTAGTGTCTAAATTCCCATAGAGGAATGCATTATCAATATCAATCTGTCTAATGTGCCAATTCATGGCCAAAGAGCGATGGGAAGACTCTATTCTAATTCTATTCTGGGGAAGTGGTGGAAGAGTTAGCTTCTCCTACTGTCGAAAGAGTCATGGACGAAAGACCTACCCCTAACCAAGCTAATTCCCTTGAGCCCCATTGTTGCTAAACGCCCCTGAGTCCTTTACCAGTGAATTGTAGCTGGACATGGGATATGAAACCTCCAAGTATGGTTACGCTCCGAGCAGAGGTAAGGCACCCTTTGAGATCGACTTCAAGATGCGCAATTGATAGAACAGTTCTTATTGTTGCCAGCTTAGCCACAGGTCTGAAAGTCTCTCCATAATCAAAACCAGGAAATCGGGTGTATCCCTTTGCAACTAACCTTGCTTTGTGTCTTGCCACAATTCCATCAGCATTATGTTTTACTTTGTAGACCCATTTTCTCTCAATCACAGTTTTATCTGTTGGCAAGGAGGTCAATGTCCAAGTCTTGTTCTTCAGAAGAGCATCATACTCCTTCTGCATTGCCACTCTCCATTTAGGATTAGATAAGGCCTCATCATCACTTTTTAGTTCTTT